AAACTTGATGTCCTTCCCCAGGGACTGGTCTCTCCTGACAACATGTCCAAAGTATGTTAAGATGAAAGCTTCCCATCCTTGCCTCTAAGGAGAACTCTGATCTTACTTCTTCCAATACAGATCACTTTGTCCTTTTAGCAGTCCATAGTACTTTCAAAATTCTTTGCCAGAACCACAATTCAAATGCATCAATTCTTCTACAGTCTCCCTTATTCAATGCTCAACTTTCACATGTATGTGGAGAATGCCATGGCTTGGGGTCAAGTGTACCTTAGTCCTCAAAGTAACATCCCTGGTATTCTATACTGAACAGAGGTCTGGTGCAGCAAATTCACCTAATGCAACTTGTCTTTTGATCTCTTGACTGCTGCTTCCATGAACCATGATTGATTGTGGATCTCAAGCAAGAAAATCCTTGACTTCAACCTTTTCTCTATTTCTCATGATGTTACCTACAATCAAATTGTGAGGATTTTGGTCTTTATGAGATTGAGTTTTAATCCACATAGAAGGCTGAAATCCTTGATCTTCATCAGCAAGGGCTTCAAATCTTCCTCATTTTTATTTAGCAAGCAAGGTTGTGTCATCTGCATAACACAAGTTGTTAAAAAGCCTTTCTCTAATCCTGATGCCACACTCTTCTTCATATAATGCAGCTTTTCTGATGGTTTGCTCAGCATATAGATTGAACAAGTATGGCGAGAGGATACAACCCTGATGTACACCTTTCCTGATGTTAATACATGCAGTATTCCCTGTTCTGTATGCACAACTGCTTCTTTATGCATGTACAAGTTTGAAATGAGCAAAATGAAGTGTTCAGAATTCACATTCTCTCAAGGTGATCCAGTTTATTACAATCTACACAGTCAAATGCTTTTTTGTAGTCAATGAAACACAAGTAAACATCTTTCTGGAATTCTCTGCTTTGAACTTAAGATCCATTTGTTATCAGCAATGATATCCCTTTTTGCACGTTCTGATTCTGGCTTGAATTTTTGGCAGTTCCCTTTCAATGTGCTGGTGTAACTGTTGATGGATGTGAGATATCAGTGATACTGTTCTATAGTTTGAGCATCCTGTTGGGTCACCTTTCTTTGGAATGGGTACAAATATGGATCTCTTCCAGTCAGTTGGCCAGGTAGCTGTCTTTCAAATTTCCTGGCATAGACGATTGAATGCTTCCAGTTCTTCGTCAGTTTTCTGAAACATTTCAAGGGTAATCTGTTAATTCCTAGAGCCCTGGTTTTGCCTAATGACTTCAGTGCAGCTTGAACTGCTTTCAGCACCCTTAGTCCTTGCTTATATGCTACCTCTTGCAATGGTGGACTGTCAACCAGGTCTTCTTGGTACAAGATTCTTGCCATTTTCTCTTGATGCTTCCTGCATCATTCAATATGTTGAATATAGAATCTTTCAAAATGGACACTAATGGTTTTAATTTTTTTCTTGAGTTCTTTTTCAGATACCCTGAGCATATTCTTCCCTTTTGGTTTTCTAATTTTAGGTCTTTGCACATTTCATTGAAATATTTGGCTTTGTCTTCTTATCTGCCCTTTGAAATTATCCATTCATTTCCTTGACTTTGTCCCTTCTTCCATTTGCTTTAGCTATTCTGCCATTAATAGCAAGTTTCAGTCGCTTCCAACATCTAGTTTGATCTTTTTCTTTCTTTTTTTCCTGTCTTTTAAATGACCTTTTGCCTTCTTCATGAATGATGGTCTTGATGTCCTTCCACAGTTCATCAGGTCTTGTCATTAGTGTTCAATACATCAAATCTGTTCTTGAGATGGTCTCCAAATTCAGGTGGGATAGACTCAAAGCTTGATGCTTCCAGCAGCACAGCAACATACAAGCTACCATAATATGACAAACTGACAGACAAGTGACGAAAATTCATGTTATAGGAAAGTGGTAAAACTATACTGTTCCATGAAATAGCTGTTAAGTCTCATATAGCTATTTAAATTAACTAAAATAACATTTTAAATGTAGTTCTTAACTATGTTGCATATGTTCAGAAGTCACCTGTGGCTAGTGACTAAAATATTAAGATAAACAACACAGATATAACACATATTGTCATCACAGACAACAGAGTTTTAAAATGTTCCAAATTTATACTGTTTCAGAATGTTCCAAAATTATCTCTATTAAATGTAACTCAAGTTACTGCAAATAAGCTTGTACAGATAGCGCTGATAATTTCTTTGGAATAAGTTCTTAATAATAGTGTCTAATATTTGAACACTGCACTGATTTGATTAGGGTTGAGGCAAAGTCAGGCTAGAGAGACAAAGTTTTCTGATCATAAGCCGATGAGAGTATTACCAATATGATAGTGTTTGTAATCCCTAGTGTGGAAGCAGCAAATTATACCACTGTTCTTCATAAACACTACTTTTTAGGGTTAAATATAAATAAATTTGTTTATTGCCAATTTGCAATATTTTCATTTTTATGAATTAACTTTTGTTAGCACACATTTCTGTGATCATATTTTGTCTTTTGATCTTATAATAGTCCTTTAACTAGAAAATGAAAATGTTGCTCTCCAAATATGTTAAGATATATTTCCTAAGTTTATTTTCCTGTTAATTCTGTTGCTGGTTGGCTATGACATATATGAAGGTTAGCATTTACATACAATAAAAGGGGACACCTTTTTCTTTATGGTTTTTGCTTTATATGACATACATATCCAGCCGTATTCTAGTATTTCAATGGTTTCACTTTAGGCATTTAAAAAGTTAATATAATGTAGAATATATTATAGCATATGTCAAAAGGAAGAAACTGAACGTAATTTTCCCCAAATGTTATAGTCCCAAATCTTAACGTAACTCTAAAAGGGGATTATAATAAAATTCACCATAAATTAATGAGCAGATCTCTAATCTACTCTTGTCTGAAATAAGGAAAATGCAATTTATATTTTAGAAATGCTGTTCTCAGCATTTTAGTTTTTAAAAAATTATCATTTCTATTCGGTTTAGGCATTAGGCCTTCCTTATATTTTCTTTAAAATAAAGTGAAAAGCAAAAGAGAAAGGAAAAAAATAAAGTGAAAAATAAGCTACATATAGAGAATTTCAGGATCGGGGGAAAAGTATATAACAAGAGACAAAAGACTGAAATCTTTTTCTAGATTCATGAGAGACGTAACTGTATTGACCAATTTACTTTCCTTCCATAAAGGACAATTTCTTTGATAGGAGCTCCAGTGAAAATTATATGGCAAAGATTTTATTACCTTTGGTATTCATTTTAGTCTCAAAAAGAACTCAACAATATTGTGTCTCTCATTGTTATCAAGTCCATGCCAACTCATAGCAACCCAGTAAGACCGGGAAAAACTGCCCCTCCAAGGCCGTAATGTAGCTCTTTGATAGAAAGCACGCTCTTTCTCCCACAGAGCAACTAGTGGTTTAGAACTGCTGACCTTGCAGATCGTAGCCCAATGTATAATCACTATGCGACCAGGAAGGCTCCCCCAAAGATAAACTACAGACAAAATCACAACTTCATCTTAGTTAAACCAAGTCAGGCTGTAATAATTAGGTTGTGTATCACGTTGGCTGAGCCATTATTCTCAACAGTTTGGTAGTTTGCCTCCCCCATCATATAAATCTAACATAATATAATCAACTCCATGACGAGATCTGCCGTGAAGAGCAGATAGGAGGATTAGGGTGGAGTGTAACCCCTTAGTCAGGTAACTGCCGTAGTGATGTTTCCCTAGGGGTATGGACTATTTCACTATAAGTAGACACTGCGGAAGAAGGCTTTCTTCTGTTCTTGCTGATCTGTGTCCTGTACCTGGCTCATTGACTCCACTTTACTGAACATAAGCCATATTGCTTGCTGATCCTGGGAGCCATCAGAGCCTATGATCTGACCTGCCAACCTTGTATTCATCTGCCTCTGTATTCATGAGCAGTGACCTTTCTGCTTTGTCTTCCTGATTCATCTTCTTGTTTCCCAGTAGCTAAATAAGTCAGGAAAAGCCTCCACCATGACTGCTGGACCAGGTTGGAGTTATATGCTTCTAAAATTGTGCATCCACCACTTCCTTGATACACACATACAGACATACATATCTTGAGATCTCAGCCTAACACAAACTTACTACCATCTTTTCCCCTCGGAGTTTCTGTTGGGTTTGAACCCTTGATCTTGTGGTTAGCAGTCCAATGCCTACCCAACAGCACCCACAGGGCACCTTTGTCTTAGTTGTAGTACACAAAATTCACTAAAATTGTGTAAGGTCCATGGCTTTATATTAATATTTATTGATATTTTAATCATTAAATTCTATAATGCTCTAATAAGAAAGCACACTCATTTACAAACAAGACACCTTCTCCTGTGACAGTGGAAATAACTTCAACCACCATCTCATATGACAGGTCTCTACCATTCTAACAACTTTTAAGTGTCTCTGCATACTCCGGTAGCCTGAGAGTTCTCTTAATGCAGACCAGGAACTATATATTCTTCACTCATCTCTAGTCTCACCTAAGAACTTGGCACAGAGCCTGGTAAATAATGGACATGTTGATACTTTATTTTAAAATGAATGAGCCTAGGTTGTCAAGAGCAAATGACCCTTTTCTAGATATCTAACATATTATTTCTTCTTCATATGGTCTATAAATACCAATCTCAGACAATGCATTTACTTACATGATGATATGACTTGTTAATAGGAATTGAAAGTACTACCCTTCTCAAATGTCACTAGAGTTTTCCAAAGTACTTAAATATACATGAACTAGCACACTCCTATCTACCAGGTTTGATCACTGTTTACATTTTAGAACAGGTAAAACTGAAGTGTCAGGAGACCAGAAATTTCCCAAAGGTCACAGCATTAGTAGATCACAGAATCAGACACACACTGAGGGATCTAACTCCACATCTCATGTAATTTTCACTACACCAGGCAATTTCAGACAAATAATCTTTGAACAAATCATTAGTGGTGTTAGATATACTTACACTGGCCCCAGCGCCCTGTCCTTGGGTTCAAGTAATTTGGATAAAGGCCATTTGGGCGGTCCATTTTCTGAAGAAGTTTTCTAATGTGCATGACCTAAACAAAATAAATTAAGAAAACAAAACTAAAGGTTACAAACTCTTGTTATTACTCTAGGATTTTGTTTTTCTTTACTCGTAACCTATAGCTCCCTAATTTTTTGGATGGTGGTAGAGAAAAAGGTTCTACTTGTTAAGTGATTCAAGTTGCAGTCTTTGCTTCTTTGATGGCCATTGATAAGATTTTGATCTTTACTAAATATATTGTTATTGTTTACTCAGTTAAGGAAAGACAAATTCTGTAATCTGGCTCAATTCTGCTGTCTTTACAAGAAAAACCTAATTTGTCTTATTTTTAATAAAATGGTACACAAAGAAAAGAATATATAGGCATTCTACTCATTTCCTAATTTAACAACTATAATATAGTAACACATTTGATACTTTTTACCTATAACACAAATTTTATATTCACCACTATCCTGACTTTGTTAAAAGCCAAGATTTTCTAAATGACATATTCTTGTTTTGCGTTTTAAAAAGCAGTAGCCTACTCTTAATTGATTAATAAATCATCATTTATTTTCAGTTCTCTATTTTATTATATAAGTGAAAACAAACATATGTAATTAAAAACAAACATTATATATAATCTACATACTCCTAACAAAAACAGTAATAGATTCTAACACATATAAACTTTAAACATTACCACGTAATAGTTTCCCTATCTGATTTTAAAACCCTTTCTAGTTCCAAGGGGCTTAAGGGTCCCTTTTATGTTTCCTCTTCTAAAAATGTCAAAAGTTTCACCTTTACATTTAAGCTTTTCATACTTCTGAAGTTACCTGTTGGTGTCTACAATGATATCCTTGTCATAACAAGTTTCCACAGATATGTGTCTGTTTATGGGCTACTTTACTCATCACTGCCTTTTTCTCTATGTACCAACAACCCACTGTCCGTGTTGATAAGCGGGTAAAACAAATGTTCCCATCCTCTTTTTCTTCAGGAATTTCTCCTGCGTTTCTTATCTATATAAATTCTACAAGTGTCTTGTCAAGTTCTATTTCATAAAAAGCCACTGAGAATTTGATTGGCACTGAAGTGATGTTACACATCAATTTTGGGGTGACTGAAATTTTCTGACACTTTTTACCTATACATGAATGCAATACATCTGTTTTGATCCTCTTTAGCTTAGTGAAGTTTCTTTTTACTTTGATTCATCTTTTGTTAGATTTATTTATAGAAACTTCACATACTATAAGTTATCTTTTTGAAAACTGACATACATGTGTATGTATATACACATGCATACACACACATATGTATGTATATATAAACACACACCCATACACACATATATGTATGTGTATACATATATTTGCCTTTCCTATCCAGCAAAATAAAATGCTACCAGTTTTTATTATGAGGAAACTTAAAAAAATTCAAGGAAAATGGAAGTAGAACATAAAGGAATTTTTCCACAAACATTTTAAAAGCCCCTCATATTTATATTTACCATTTACTCATAAAGATACTATATTATTTCTAGTTACAAATAGATTTATTTTAAATAATAAAATTTATCGATATTTATTATATTCTTGCCTACTTTCCAATTCTAAAAATTTTGTTCATTTTTCTCCTATGCATAAGCAGACTAGCAAGAAAAATTAATTTACTACAGTGCTTACAGAAATAAGAGAAGTTTTAAAAAACTGTTTTAAATTTATCAAGTATTTTAAATATGTTCTAAATTGAAAGGACATTTCTTTGGATTAACATACTTCTGAAAAGGTAAACAATTGCTAAGCATTAGTCAATGTTTAGAAATTAATTTTGGTAATATTTAAAAGACATTTTATAGACAAAGAAAAGAAGACAAGAAAACTAACCTTTTTGAAGTAAACCGGGTCTCCTGTCAAGTAGCTGAGATGGACAAACTCCATATGCAGAGTACCAAATTCTGCCAGAATGCTGCTACCTGCAGATGCCCAGCCCCAGTTTCGTCCTACTCCACTGAATGGAACAGTTAGAAAATAAGTAAATAAATTACAGGATTGGGAAAAGATCAAAACATTTTTAAGTCAAAAGTCACTTTTAAATAACTCTCAGGAAGTATCACGTCAAACACAGTGGGTTACACAGCAGTTTAAAACCACCTGCTCCACAAAAGAAAGATACGGTTTCAGAATCTCAGAAACCCACCGGGCAGGGCTACTCTGTCCTAGGGTCTCTATGAGTCAGAAAGGATTTGATGGCAGGGAGTTTTGAACAAATAATTTACTTTTCTCTAAAATTCTATTTTATTTAAAAATGTTGTAGATAGACTACATTTACATTAGAAATAATAATAATAACAATTCCTAAGGCATTTTCCATACAACCAAAAACCTCCTGGGATTTACTTTTTGGTTGGAGGTTAAGGGTCATGGCTTCACAACACATCCCAGGTAACTGGCCTAATAATATGTTTATTACTTCTGTTCTGCCTCCTAGCTGGAAGTGTAATCCCTGCAGTAGTAAAAGCATGCAAGTGGCCATCCAAGGCATGACAACTGATCTCTATTCAGCGGTTCTCAACCTGTGGGTCGCGACCCCTTTGGGGGTCGACTGACCATTTCACAGGAGTTGCCCCCCATTCATAACAACAGCAAAATCACAGTTATGAAGTAGCAACAAAATTAATTTTATGGTGGGGGGGGGGGTCACCACAACATAAGAAACTGTATTGAAGGGTCATGGCATTAGGAAGGTTGAGAACCACTGACCTAGGGCAACAAAGGAAGAATGAGAAAGAGTTAGAAATAGGAGAAGGATATGAAATGTGTGGCTAATTGTCTCCTTTGTATGAGACCAGAAGAACTGGAGGGTGCCTAACACCATTACTGGACATTTTGATCAAAGACCCTATAGAAGAATCATTATCTAAAGAAGAATGCTGAACAGAATTTCAAATCCCATAGACACTAGACTTTCTGGAGGCCAAGGAGCTAGATAAAACCCAGAATCTGTTCCCTAAGATAATCTTATTAAATTATAATGTTACCCTCTAGAGAAGAGGTTCTCAACAATGGAAAGTCTGGGGGGGTTACCAAAACTCCTCCACTTTTAAACAAAGATTCATAATGACCACACAACATTAAATCCTCTTGGTTTGTGCATTCTTTAAGCCAGAAGCCATGTTTGTTTTGTTTATTATATATACTCTTAACTTTTTTTATTATTAAATACTTCTATTGGGGGCTCTTACATCTCTTAACACAATCCATACATTCATCCATTGTACTCTTAACTCTTACTGTGGCCACTGGATGTACTTTTACTAAACAAAAGTTTGATTGCTAAGTTGTGGTATGATTCTGACATGTTTGGCAAAAGTACAAGGAATGAAGCTAAATGGGTATAGTAATAGAAGCTGAGCCTAGCAGCAAACTTCACATGAAAAGTTCTATGAAAAGCTTTTTCCCTGATAGAAATAGTATGGAAACAGAAATACTATGTGACCTAACAAATCTCATCCTAGAGAAATAAGAGCGGTGACACGAATACACATACACACACACATGTTCATCCCAACATTACGCATATTAGCAAAAATATGGAAACAACTCAAATGCCCATCAACAGAAAAACAAATTGTAGTAACACAACAATAAAGAATAATGATAAATATGCGAAAAAATTTCACAACATAGAATGAATCTAGAAGACATTATGCTTAGTAAAATGAGGCAAATATAAAAAGACAAATACTCTATGAGATCATTATTATAAAAAGTCAAGAATAAGGGTCACAGCAATTCCTCTACTGGGCATATACCCAGAAGAGGTAAGAAACAGATCAAGACCAGTCTTCTATGCTCCAATGTTTATTGCAGTGTAACTCACAATCACAAAGAATTGGAAACTACCTAAATTTCTATCCATAGATGAGTGGATTAGAAAACTCTGGAACATGCACACAATGGAGTACTACGCATCCCTAAAAATCACTGATGAGCACATGAAGCACATCATCTCACGGAAAGAGTTGGAGGAAATTATGCTAAGCGAAGTTAGCCAATACAAAAGCACAAGTACAACATGAGTCCCCTGAGGTAAGTATAACCAGCACAGTAGGTTCAGAAGAAAAGCCACTTAACTCACACTTCACAAGCTGAAGTAGAGGCAGTTGGGCGGGGGACAGACCAAACCCAAGGAAGTACATGCCATTCCAACACAAAGAAAAGGCGGGGAATGAT